GTAAATGTTCAAGCTTAGTAAATCATGTGAAGTACATCTGTTACTGGTTCAATAATTCTGCACCATACAAAATCTTTTTTCTTTTTAATATATGATAAAAACACAAATAACTTACACATTTGGAACATTGATGAACCACCCATGTTGCTCATCTGAAAACCACACCTCAACTGATATTACTTTGGGCTACAATATTACATCGCTTGCCTGCTTCATTGTGTACCTATGCACAATCGGTTTTCCCCGTATAACTTTGTAGCCGGTGCCGAGATTCATACTGCTTAAATCAAGGTTACCGCCAGCGCTGCTAATGATCTTGCTTGCATCGACATCACCCTTCACAGAGCATATTCAACATTAGTAATGCCATTTTTCAATAAACAAATAATGTGATCTAATTTTGGGAGAAAAAGAGTGTGACCTGTTTGGAATCTAACAGTAAGATAATTATAAATGAATGTGTGCATTGTTCCTCTATTCTTTTGCAACATGTTTGCACTATTTTGCATTCAAAAATCGTTCGTTTAATAAGATTTGATCCTCTCCAAAGTAGCTCAGAAATGGCTCTAAATGCTCCCGATATGATATCAGGAATTTGTGTTTTCAAGAAACTTACCCCATCGTAAGTAATGTATTTTCGGAACACAACAGGATTTCCCATTTCAACCGTTCCATGACGGATCACTTTTTGAACCACTTCCGGTTGTTCCACATTTGTCACTTCGCGATTTATAACTGTTGTCCCGGTATCAATACTGTTATCAAACGGATGTTGGCCACGTTTGAAGCGATGATGTGGAGTGATATTTCCTTCAGCCTGCAATCTTACACGAGTTTCAAACCGTTTTTGGTAAGAAATCCATTGCAACTCACAAAAAGAACGGAAAGCAACAGTAACGAAGCAAAGAGGAGCAGTTTCATTTTGTATGTGGCTTCCTGGACCTCCCGACGACTATTTGTAGGGCAGTGAACACGTTAGCTACCAGTTCTCACAATTTCCGAAAAATTATCCCAGATATTATAGTTTGAAATTGATTTATGTGTGTGAGATGCGATATCTTAAAGGCATCGATCGCATGGTTTGCGATAAAAATCAAGTAATAGCCTTAACTTTATTAGGCATTAAACGTTCTACTTTCTAATGCAAATAACACACAACCTTTAGCTGCATCTCAATGAACGAGACTATTCTATAGGTTTTCTACTATTATTGAACTTTCATATAAAAGCAAACAAAAAG